CCTTTATCTGTCTGCCCTTTTTTTCCTTTACCCTGTGCAAAGGCTGCATGGTACTGGTATAAGCTTATTATCTATTCAAGCCCTCAGTTATAGTCGTAACCACTGATCCAGTAAAGTATCTCTATTCAAGAGAATCCTAATCACATGCTTTAGTGCTTTGCTGAATTGAGGTCTAAGAGTTCTTTAAACTTTGGTACTACTTTGCTTCTGTCTTGTTACATGGTCTGTGAATTCTGCTCCTTTTTTGGGGGAGGGTTGTTTTTTTTAAATAAACTTTGAGCATGAAACAAGACTATTTTTGCAAGAGATGGTGGGGCAGCAGAGGGAGGGAGCAGAAAAGAATCATTTCAGAATTGCAACATCTTACTTTATTCCACAAAATGGGTGGAGGAAATGATTTATAAGGCACTCAGTGGAAAATGTAAAGCAAGTTACTTAGCAGCTTCAAAGAGTCTGCTATCTACATCTGAAGAGTTAGGTCTCCACCTGATACAAATTAAATGTTCTCTAGCCCAGAAGGAACTCTTTGCAGCTCATTTTGGCATTATCTCCATAAAACCCCACGGGTGGGCAGCCAAACTGGCTAGCTTAATGCACTATAAATGCTAAGAGGTCCCAGCTCTTTCCATTATGTGTATGAACCCAAAATTATCAACTTTTTAAACAGAAGCTGCTGACATCAACTGTGTCTTGAATTTATAACTGCCATGACTGGAGTTTTGTAAACTCATGTTTTCTGGGCATCTCAGTGAAAATGAAGAAAGGGAAAAAAATGGTTTTGTTAATTTGCTTATCAATTTAAAAGTTCATTTTTGTGAATACTCACTGGTAGTCAGCCTTAGAAATCAACTCCACAGGGTAAGCAGGGCTAATCAAACATTTTTCTAGAGATCACTATATAGCAATCATTTGTTATAAACAGGGATCTGGGTTTTCTGTTTCCTATGGAAAAACAGAGAAAACCATGGATTTCCCCTCTTTGTCAGAGAAAATGTGGATTTCTCCTTTTAGCAGAGAAACCTGCAGATTCCCTGCTTTTACGAAGAGCTCTGCAGGCTGGTTGAGCTCCAGCTTGTAAGACCTGTTTGCAGACAGGGCGGGAAACCCCCAGCCCTGCCCGGAGGGGAAGGGAAAGAGGGAGGAAGAAGGGTGGGGCCTGAGGCGTTCAGTCAGTTACGGCTCAGCTTAGCTCAATCTGACTTCGCTTCTGGAGCTTGTGCAGTAACTGGGGCTTGCAGGGGGCTGTGGTCCCCTCTGGCAGGGCTGGGGGGTTGTGGGTCATGGCTGGTAGGGAGCCAGGAGCTGGCCCCAGCCCTGCCTGAGCTTGCAGAAGCAGTGGGGGAGCTGCTTGTGCGGTTTCTGCTATAGTCACTTGCTGTTTGGGGCATGGAGCTGCAGACTTGGGTCCCGGGCTCCATATCCCTGGTAGCTGGGGACCCCCTCTGGTAGGGCTGGGGAAGAAGGTTATGGGTGGGAGGCAAGAGGCATGAGTAGGGTGGGGAGGCTGTTGTGGGGGTGAGTGAGGGGCACCAGCAGGGCTGGGGGTAGCATTGGGTGCAAGTGAGGGTCACCACCAGGGCTAGGAGGACCTTGGGTGTGAGTGAGGGGCACCAGCAGGGCTGGGGGAGGCATTGTGGGGGAAGCATTGGAGAGAAGTGAAGGGCACCCGCAGGGCTGGGGGGCTTTGGGGGTGAGGGGCACCAGCAGGGCGGGGGGAGGCATTAGGGGTGA